TTTTCTGCTTCCAAGCTGAGAAGAAGAAGGGAGCCTTTGCAGGCTGGCCAGCGGCTTGCAAGAGGATAATTATTGTTTAAATACCAGCTTTTTTGTCACCATGCAAGGAGGGATAATGGCACATAATTGTCCCTATTGTCAGGGCAACAGAGAGGAAGGACTGGGAGGGGCAGGGGGTGCCAAGGTGACAGTCTGGAGGCAGCAAATGCGTTGGCCAGTCTGGCAGGTTGGCGGCTGGGCAGAAGGACACCACCAGCGGGCAGGAAGATGGGTTGGGGGGGGAGAGGAAGGGCCAGGCTGGGGGAGGGGAGCACCAGGAAGCAAGAGCCAGCAGAGCTCCACCCCACTTGACCCAGAGGATCAATGGGGAAAGGAGATGGGCTGGAGGAGACGCACTGAAGGCATCAGGGCCAGCAGAGCCATAGAGATATGGAACTGCTGCATTTGGAAGGGCCCTCTAGTCCACCCCCTGCAATGCAGGAATCACAGCAGGGGGAGGGTGGGGGGATTGGAGAGGGAGGGTCAAGAGAAAGAGGAGGCAACTGCCCTCTCTCAACCCAAGGTGGGGGCTCTGGACACAGGAGTCTGCAGAGAAAAGCAGCTCCAAGGGGCCTCCCCAGGAGCCCAGCCTATGGGGCCACATTTGGCCTTGGGGGGGGCAGTGCACTCCCCAGAGAGAGCAAAGGCCCAGGGGGGCTGGCTTTGCCTGCACAGCTGGAGGCAGCGATGCTTCTGAATCCCAGGGGGTTGGAAACTGCAGGGGGGGGGATGCTGGCTGAGATGATCCCTTGGCCTGATGCAGCAGGCTCTTCCTTTCTCCTTCAAAGGGGAGATGATGATGATAATAATAATTTATTTATACCCCACCCATCTGGCTGGGTTTCCCCAGCCACTCTGGGCAGCTTCCAATAAAATATTAAAATACAATAGTCTATTAAACATTAAAAGCTTCCCTAAACAGGGCTGCCTTCGGATGTCTTCTAAAAGTGGGGTAGTTGTTCTCTTTGACATCTGGTGGGAGGGTGTTCCACAGGGCGGGCGCCACCACCAAGAAGGCCCTCTGCCTGGTTCCCTGTAAGCTCACTTCTCACAATGAGGGAACCGCCAGAAGGCCCTCGGTGCTGGACCTCAGTGTCCGGGCAGAACGATGGGGTGGAGACGCTCCTTCAGGTCTACTGGGCCAAGGCCATTTAGGGCTTTAAAGGTCAGCACCCACACTTTGAATTGTGCTCGGAAACGTACTGGGAGCCAATGTAGGTCTTTCAAGACCGGTGTTATGTGGTCTTGGCAGCCGCTCCCAGTCACCAGTCTAGCTGCCGCATTCTGGATTAGTTGTAGTTTCCGGGTCACCTTCAAAGGTAGCTCCACATAGAGCGCATTGCAGTAGTCCAAGCTGGAGATAACTAGAGCATGCACCACTCTGACGAGACAGTCTGCGGGCAGGTAGGGCCTCATCCTGCGTACCAGATGGAGCTGGTAGACAGCCACCCTGGACACAGAACTGACCTGCGCCTCCATGGACAGCTGAGTCCAAAATGACTCCCAGGCTGCGCACCTGGTCCTTCAGGGGCACAGTGACCCCATTCAGGACCAGGAAGTCCTAAACACCTGCCCGCCTCCTGTCCCCCCAAAACAGCACTTCTGTCTTGTCAGGATTGAACCTCAATCTGTTAGCCGCCATCCATCCTCCAGCTGCCTCCAGACACTCCCACAGGACCTTCACCTCCTTCACTGGTTCTGATTTGAGAGAGGTGGAGAGAGTTGCCCTTGCGCTCTGGGCTCCCCTTGGGGGCGTCAGGCTGGCCCTTGCGAGGCTGCTAGGCGGCCCCTCGGTTCTGCTTCTGTTTCCCTTGTGAACTTGGGCATCTTTTTCTCTCTCTCGCTTCGGATTCAGCCCCCGCTCAGGCGGTTCCTCCAGCTGCCGCCAAGCGGGAATCCAGACGCCGCCGCCGCCGCCGCCGCCAAGCGCAGCTGCCGCGGGAGAGGCGCTTCCAGGCGGCTCCGCTTCTCTTGGAACAGAAACGGCGAGCATCATGCGCGCGCCCAGCGACACCTTCCTCGAGACCCGGCGCTTCTCTCCAGGCTCTGGAAAGTTGACAGCACTCGAGGAGTCTGCAAATCTGGCAAATCTGCGGCGCGGAGAAAGGCGCCTGCCAGTGCCAAGCGAAGCCTCTGGCGCGGGCTCCCCCAAGGAGGTCCTGGCAGAGTCGAGGTGAAGGCGCCCCTTTTCCCGAGGTCCCTGGCGCCGCGGGTCGCCCAGCCTCCTGCCCCATCGCACGAGAGGGCCTGGGGGGCATGCAATGGTTCTGTAGCCCCTCGAGGTTGCATTGGCGCCCCTAAAACAAGGCCGTGCGCTTTAGCCGGGAGGGCTTGCGCAGCCAGGTGGGGAGAGAGCCCGCTTGCATACGAAGCGGCCCCAGCCGCGTGCAAAACAAAGGCTGCCCCCCCCAGCTCTGCTCTCCGACTCCCCCCCCCCCCAGCGCCGAGACTTCGCGGCGCGCAATTGCCGGTCGCGTGACGAGGGCGCCACCTGGTGGCCAGAGCGACTCATCGCTGCCAACAAGCGCCGCGGAACCGGCCCGTGGAGCGTCGAGATGCGGCCCGCCAAGCCGCCTTCTCGGAAGATGCCGCTTACACGGGCCCAGCAGGCAGCCGCCGCCAAGGTCTACTTCCTGTAGCTTTAAGGTCAGGGACAGGGAGCCTCGGTGGTCTTCCTGATGGTGTCGGGCTCCAGGTGCCACCAGCAGCCAGCACGTCCAGTGGTCAGTGATGAGGATGATGGGCGTTGGGGGTCCAGCAAGGTCAGGAAGAGCCCCACCCATGCCCCCCTCCTCCTGCGCTATCGGGAAGCTGCTCCAATCCCCAGGAAGGCTCCTTCTCCCTGCCTCCTTATACTGAATCAGACCACTGGTTCAGTAGCGCAGTATTGTCTGCACTGGCTGGCAGCAGAGGCTCTCCAGGATTTCAGGCAGGAGTCCGCCTGGAGATGCCCACTGGGACTGAAGGCAGAGGCTCTTCCTCTTGCCTGCCCGCCCACCCAGCAAAGCCCACCAGGAGATCTTCCTGCAAGGAGCACGGAACCTGTGGAGGTTTTGCTTCTTGAGGTTGTGCAAAGCACATAGCACACAACAGCCCTTCAAGGTAGGGCAGCCCCATGACTGGGGCCTGGATGATCGGCAAGGGAGAGCTAGACAGGGCTTGGGAGACCTGGGTTCGAATCCCCACTTGGCCATGAAGCTCCCTGGGTGACCTTGGGCCAGTCACTGCCCCTCAGCCTAACCTGCCTCCCAGGGTTGTTGTAAGGATAAAATAGGGAGGACAACTATGCACACCACCGTGAGCTCCTTGGAAGAAAGGCAGAAATACAAGTAAATGAAAAATCAGGGGCATCCTCTCTCTCCCCCCCCCCCATGGCAGGATTTCAGGAGGAGGGGATTTTCATGGGGCCAAAGCCGCAGTGTGGGCGGGCAAAGGGGCAAACTCTCCTCTCCCTTCTTAAGACCACCTCACTTTGCGTTTTTTAAAAATGTGCCCCTGGGTTGCATTCACTCCCTCAGCGCCACATCCAGTCGGGCCTCCATTCTCCTCTTATGACTGGCTGGAACTTCTTGATTTGTATTTCAGTTCTTTCTGTAGTTTCTGTTTGTGTCAAGTGCTGTGATTCTTTTTGGCACAAGGGGGCAAAAAACACCCTAAATGAACCAAACAAGACCGGCTGCTTGGGGGGGGGTGGGGGAGGTTGTAAAGGCACCAGTCTCCAAGCTGGCCCCAGTGGCTTTGGGACTAGAACTCCCACCAGCACCAACCAGCACAGCTGCTGTGGTCCAGGGGGCGCCACGTTGGGGAAAGGCCAGCTTATGGGGAAACTGAGGAAGAGGCCTTTGGGGGAACCGGGTCCATCTGGCTCAGCACAGGGTCTCTACAGAGATTCATCGACTGCAAATTGGGGGGGGGTCTTTCCCAGCCCCTACTTGGAAATGTTGGGGATAAACCCGTGACCTTCTGCATGCAAAGCAGCTGATCTAAACTGAGCCTCGTGGTCCAGCCAGCAGGGAGTTTGGCTGCTGGGGATTCCCAGCTCACAACAAGAGCAGCCGGTGACCTCCCTGCTCCCTTTCGAATGGCCCATTTTGTCCTGTTTTCTCAAACCACAGACATGCCTTGGCACGCTGCATAGCAGGAGCAGAGGACCAAATCCAGCCCGGCAGGCCACTCCGTCTGATCCTCAAGACTCCTGCCCCCCAACCACAGAAGCCCTGATCCACCCTCTCTAAATGGCCTTCCCTGTTATGCCTCTGCCAGCTCCCTCAGCCTCCTCCTCCTCTGGCGATCACTCATAGGCAAGTAAGATTGTCTTCCATGAACACGGTCTTAACAGTGAGTCCAAAAGTGACTGTGGAGGCCAATTCTGGACCCACACATCCTTCCACAGTGGGGACATTGGTTTTTGGGCGGGAGCTGATCACAGTGTGGATTTGCCAAGCATGCCTTTCTCTTAGTACTGTACGTTTCTCCCTTGCGTCCTGAGTTCGAGTGTCTTCAAAGCCCACGACACCTTTGGTCAAGGCTGTTCTCCAACTGGAGCGCTCACAGGCCAGTGTTTCCCAGTTGTCAGTGTTTATACTACATTTTTTAAGATTTGCCTTCAGAGAGTCTTTGAACCTCCTTTTTTCACCACCAGCATTACGCTTCCCAAGTTCGGAATAGAGTAGGTGCTTTGGAAGATTATAACCAGGCATCTGCACAGCATAACCAGTCCAACCAAGTTGACGTTGAAGAATCATTTGCTTCTTCCAATACACTGGTCTTAGTCCCAGCCTCCAAACTGCCCCCAGGCAGGAGTTTGAAGTGCCCTGGCAGGAACTTCCACCTTGAGGGTAAGGCATGAAGTGGGCAGGGAGGGAAAGTTAGCCAGAACCCCCCAAAGATCAGAGCTACTTATATAAATCAAAATAATAATAAAATCCAGATTTATTGACAAACACACAGGTAATTCTGAAGAAGTCCAGAAAGTAAAAAAAAAAAAAAACACCCCACAGAATTGCACTGTTGGATGGGATCCCCAGGGGTCATCTAGTCCAACCAAGAGTTTCCCTGACAGGTGGCCACCCAACCTTTAAAAACCTCCAGTGAATCGAGAATCATAGAATTGGAAGAGTCATCTAGTCCAAGCCATGGATCCCCCACCTTCCAGTCTGTTCAAAAGGTTGCTTCTCCCTCCTGTCCGTTGCCCCAGCAGGCAGGCAGGTTACAGCTCACCTGAGGACACCAGACCCAGTGCAAGCAGCAACCCTCTGGAGGGCCTTGGGGAGATTCAGGGAGAACGGTCCTCCTGCCAGGGATGGACCAGGCTCAAGGCTACATCACCAGCTACTGGGGCAACAGCAGGAAGGAGGGCAGTTGCCCCCATGCCCTGCAGTGGCATAGCAGGGGCAAAGCCACAGGGATGGTTGCCTTGGGTGCAAAACAACTCTTAGGGGCACAAAATTCTAAAGGGGAAAAAAGTAAGTAGCAATAAAAAAGAGTGGACCCTCCCCCTCACACAGAAAATATCCCAATCTTCACATGGGCAGACCAAGGAGCAGATTTGGGTGACGGCCGGTTGCCAGGGTGCCCTCTGCAGGGCGTTAGAAATATACTCCCGACCAATCCCCCATCCTGCTCAACGCTCGCGGGTGCCACTCGAGTAGGTCGCCAGGCTATTGCTCCTTCATTCCAGCCTATCGGCAGGCAGTGCCAAGCACATTTGCCTTGCCCCAGGCACTGGCAACCCACGCCACATCACTGATGCCCTGTTAGTGGGCTTGCAGCGGGTTGGGCTAGATGTCCCTTGGGGTCCCTTCCTATTCTACGATTCTATGATGAGGCATTCTGATGCAAGAGGCGTCTGGGTCACCCTTTGGCCTCTCCTGGCATGGCTCTCTTGACCAGGCAGGAACCCACAGACTCCAGCTTCGCCCACCCCCCACCCCCCAGGCAGAAGATGTTACTGGGGGTGCAGCAGAGATTCTGCCACAGACCCCAAACTGAAGACCCCCCCACAAGGCAAGCCAGGTGTGTGTGTGCTCAAAAGACGCATTCAGTTTCTGGGATGAAACAAGTAAATAATAATAAATACATTTTTATTTATACCCCGCCTTTCCCGGTTCAGAAAACCAGGCTCAGGGCAGCTAACAACAAATATAAAACACTTAATTATAGAAGCAGCATAAAATACAGTATAAAAACATGAATGTAACAAGAAAGGCAGTCCTTCCCTTGAAGGATGGAGGCGGCTCGACCCACGTAGACCGACATGGCAGATACAGAAATTGGGGTGGGCTTGCGGAATATGGATTGTTGCTTCTGATTTAAATCAGTGAAAACAAAAAAATGTTTTTTTTTGCAGGGAAGAGAAGATGGAGGAATTGTACAAACAAGTTATTATCCCCAACTCTATGTGGCCGGAAGAGAACAGCAAACACCCACAACACGGTCCTATTAAAAATGGTTTATAAAAAATAGTTCCTATAGAAACCATGAATTGACACTCTCCGTTTAAAGTGACACCTTTGCCACCCAGGACAACCAGCCCAGAGCGTGACTCCAGAAGCTCCAGAGAGGCAGAGGGCTGTGAACCCAATATACCCCACACCCCGTATCTTTGGGGCTGCTTCCCCTTCCCTGCCCACCTCTGCTGGAGAAGGCACTCTGCAAGGCTCAGGTCGCTCCCCCACCTAAGAGAGGGCAAAGCCCATTGAAGCTGCTGTCTTTGTGAGTCAGTCTGGGAAGTTGGGAGGGACTCCCAAAGGTCATCCAGTCCAGCCCCCTTGCAATGCAGGAATCTCGGCTCAAGCATCCCTGGCAGATGGCCGTCCGATCTCTGCTCCAGGGAAGGAGAGTCCCTTCCACGGCTGAGCAGGAGAAAAGGGGGCAACTCTTGGGGAATGAGGAATAATTCCTGGCTGGCGGGGAACACACAGCTGCCCCCCCCCCAAGCCAGGAGTTTATCTGACTGCCGCACAGAAGCCCCTCGGTGGTTAGAGGTTGAGCTCCAAGGTGCCCTTTTCTCCCCACCGGGTCTGCAGGGTTGCTGCCAAGGTGGCAGCTGCAGCAGAAGCAGGCCAAGGCCAGAAGGTGCCTTTGCTGCCCTAGAATCACAGCTGGGAGGGGGGTCCCTGAGGGTCATCTAGTCCAACCCCCTGCGATGCCACCTCACCCCTCCCACTTTCTGGCGGGCAGGCCCTACCAAGGCAAGCCCCACCCAGCCTGATTTTGAGGGGGGTCCAGGACAAAGCCCTGCAGGAGGAGGAGGACCTGCAGGGAAGCATCCGGCGGTGGGGGGGTCAGGACTGCGCCTGCTCTGCGAGGCGGCTCTCCTTGCCATCTTCCTGGGCCACAGGCTGGCCCCCAAGCAGCGTCTCCTGAGTGGGAAAGGGAGGGTCCTCTATCTCCTCAGGTTGCGGCCTCCCGTGGTCCAAGGGGGCCTCTGGCTGGAAAGAGAGAGGCAGGGAGGGGGGGCAGGTTCAGCAGGCAGGGACATGCAGCGGCATCCGGGACCAGGGCCTCCCGCCTGCTGCCAACAGCAGCAGAAGCCCCCTCCCCAAAGGCCCTTTTGCTCACTCACCTGATTCAGGGGAGGCTTCCAGAGATCTAGGCAGGAGAAAGGGAAACAGTCAAGGCTGGATAGGGAGACCCCTGGCTGGTGTTTTTTTGGGGGGGACACTTTAACCCTCAGGGGAAAGGCAGCGACAGGCACCTGGGAGAAGGGAGCTCACCCCAAAGAGTGGGAAAGGAAAGCACCCCCCTTTCTGTTACGGGATCCCGCTGCTAGGGGACGCCGAGAGGCAGGCAGACCTACACAACACAACACAACTGTTGCTGTGTGTAGGTTTTATTTTACAGTGGGATCTCTAGTTACGAACCTAATTCGTTCTGGAGGTCCGTTCTTAACCTGAAACTGTTCTTAACAGTTGATGTAACTATGATGTAAGTCATGGGCCCTGCCTGCTAGTCTGTTCCCTCAAATATCCCGGGTTCTTCATTGTATTTCAGTTCAACAATTTTGTTGTTTAGTCGTGTCCAACTCTTCGTGACCCCCTGGACCAGAGCACGCCAGGCACTCCCGTCTTCCACTGCCTCCCACAGTTTGGTCAAAAATCCAACAATTACTTTGATGCAATGCATACTTTGCGATGTGCAAATGGCTTGAGATACCTATGAGGTCCATAAATGACCATCTAGCATCTATTCAATGCAAAAAACTGACCATTTGTTGTGGACAAAGGACAGCTGGACATAGAAAGGGCCCCATTATCTTCAGGAGCTGAGGGCCGCATCCAACCTCAATCCAGCCCTGCCCCCAGGGACCCCCCTTCAGCACCCCCTCCCAAGCACCAGCCCCCCGCCCAGCGACTCACCCTGGCGCATCCGATGGCGGTGGAGGAGGAACAGGGCCCCCGCCAGCAGCCCAAGGAGAGCCACCAGGGGAACTACCAGCAGCACGTGGGTCCTTCTGGCTTCTTCCTGGGGGGGCTGTGTGGGCAGGACACCTGTGGGAGGGTGCAGGAAAGGAGCCACATGAAACCCCCCCAGCGCCAGGGCAACCCGGGAACACCCCTGCGGGCAGAATCACAGGGTTGGAAGGGACCCCCAAGGGCCATCTAGACCAACCCCCTGCAATCCCCCCCAGCGCAGAAATCCTCTGGGACCAACCCCTCTCCCCCCCCCACTTCCCCCCCTCGCTGCCCCCAGCTTGGATGTCTTCAGTGGGCGCAGCCATGGAACAAACAGCCCTTAAATACTTCTGGGTCTTCTGCACTGACCTCCTCTTTGTGACCGACAGCGAAGGAAGACAATTAGGCGCTGGGCGACCAGCAAGGCGTCAAGCAGAGTTAAACCAAAACAAATTTAGCTTTCGCTAAAGGTTTCTTTATGGCAGCCATTTAAAGAGTTATTGTGAAGGGTGGCTTTTTTCTCGAAGGAAAAACACCTTATTTTTAGAACGCTGCAGAGTTAAAAATAAAGCTGCTGGTCCAGATCAGCGTCGCGTTTTTAATGGGAGGCCACTGCGCAGCCTGCGGAGGGAGATTTGCGAAGCCCTGGGAGGGGCAGGACGGGGCAGATCCTGCCCCGATTGATGCCCCAGGCTCACTGGGAGATCCCTGAAGCACCAGCGAATCCTGACTCACAGGATCCGTCTCAGCTGATGCAGGTCTCTTGTTTTTATTTCTTTCTTTCTTACATCTATAGGCCTCCTTTCAAGGGGGGCTGTGCGTGGGTCTCCCTCTCCCCACTGAATTCTGACAACAACCCTGTGAGGTAGGCTGGACTGGTCCCTGGGCCAGAAATGGAAGAAAGGATAAGAAGAGTGTGGTGCAGTGGTTAGAGCATCAGACCAGGACCTGGGAGACCAGGGTTCAGATCCTCACACTTGGCCTGGAAGCTGCTCCCTGAGTGGTCTGGGGGGGGGCAGCCCCTGCCTCTCAGCCTAACCTCCCTCAAAGGGTTGTTGTGGGGATTTAATTGGAAGGGGGGACATGAATGCAGTACACAAACACTGTAAGAGCCAATGAAAGCATAGGAAGAAGCCTCTTTAAGGCTCAGCAGCAATTGAGCAGGATGAAGCCCCCTCCCCTTCCAGATCTGCTGCAGCCCCTGCTCCAAACAGCTCCATCTGCCAGCTTCACTTCTACACTTTCTGGGCTAAACTTTTTGGCTTCCTTGTTCAGCACAGTCTCAAAACACAAGAAGAGCCAGACACAGCTTCTTCATTCCTTCCGAGGGGGCTGCGCGGAGCAGGCCCTGCCAGCAGTCCTTCCCTGCCACCTCCATGCCATTCTGGATAAGAACTGAAAGCCAGGCAAGAGTGTTCCTGCCCCCCCAATGTCACAGCTGAAGAGAAGTTTGCCTATATCCAAACCTGGTCACGGTACCTTCCAAGCTGAAGAGAAAGTCGCCCTCCACGTGCCCAAGGCACCAGCCCTTCTGGCAGCCCCTCCCAAGACCACACCTCTGGCTGGGAGCTCACTCACCGCAAACCACATCCGAACTGTGGGTCCCGTTTGCCAGCCGCACCATCTTTCCGGCCTCGCAGCTGCGGAGACAGAGGCAGACTCTTAAGAAGGGTTTGCACCACATGAGCATTTCACAAGCGAAGCCCTGGCAGGTGCGCAAGCAGGCGCAAGCCCCCGTTTCGGTTTGGAAGAGAGAAGCAGCAGCACGTGGAGGCCTCCCCCCCCCCCCCCGAGATGCAGATAAGCAGCTTGACTCCAAATCCCCCAGCACCCCACACACAGAGCTGCTTTTCTTAAACTGGCACCTGGGCTCAGCTGCACACATTTGCATGAACTGCACGGTTAGCCATGCAGGCAACTTCCTTTCCCAGCAAGACCCGGTCACGCAGAGTCTGCCAGCCTCTCCTGCCCAACTGCCATGTGCCAGCGTAATAATAATAATAATAATAATAATTTATTATTTATATCCCACCCATCTGGCTGAGTTTCCCCAGCCACTCTGGGCGGCTCCCAATCGAGTGTTAAAAACAATACAGGGTTAAATATTAAAAACTTCCCTAAACAGGGCTGCCTTCAGATGTCTTTCAAAGAGAAGATAGCTGCTTATTTCCTTCACATCTGAAGGGAGGGCATTCCAAAGGGTGGGCACCACCACCGAGAAGGCCCTCTGCCTGGTTCCCTGTAACTTGGCCTCTCGCAGTGAGGGAACCGCCAGAAGGCCCTCGGAGCTGGACCTCAGTGTCCGGGTAGAACGATGGGGGTGGAGACACTCCTTCAGGTCTACTGGGTCTTTGAGGCCGTTTAGGGCTTTCAAGGTCAGCACCCACACTTTGAATTGTGCTCGGAAACGTACTGGGAGCCAATGCAGATCTCTCAGAACCGGTGTTATATGATCTCGGCAGCCACTCCCAGTCACCAGTCTAGCTGCCGCATTCTGGATTAATTGAAGTTTCCAGGTCACCTTCAAAGGTAGCCCCACGGAGAGCGCATTGCAGTAGTCCAAATGGGAAATAACCAGAGCATGCACCACTCTGTCGAGACAGTCTGTGGGCAGGTAGGGTCTCAGCCTGCGTACCAGATGGAGCTGGTAGACAGCCGCCCTGGACACAAAATTAACCTGCACCTCCATGGACAGCTGTGAGTCCAGAATGACTCCCAGGCTGCGCTCCTGGTCCTTCAGGGGCACAGTTACCCCATTCAGGACCAGGGAGTCCCCCACACCTGCCTGCCCCCTGTCCCCCAAAAACAGTACTTCTGTCTTGTCAGGGTTCAACCTCAATCTGTTGGCCACCATCCATCCTCCAACTGTCTCCAGGTCGACCGCCCCGCTCATCTCACCTGCTCCAGGGTTGGCATCGAGTGGTGGCAGAAGAGATGTTGGAGAAGGAGCCAGGAGGGCAGGCCATGCAGACCGTGTCATTCAGATGATTGGCTGGAAGGAACAAGGGAGGCAGTGTCACATGCCAGGGTCCTGAAGCATCCTGTGTGGGGCTGGGGCCACAGGCTCCAGCTCCAGTAGCCCTCATATCTGCAGGGTGGGGGGCCTGGGGGGTCCATGCAGCTCCTGCAGCAATGCCCCTCCAGGGCTGTCTGGGTGTGGGGAGAAATCCCACTGGAAGGAAAAGTCCAGCGGACTTCCGCACGCCCCACAATCCCCAGCCTAGAATAGCAGAGGTGGAAGGGACCCCCTAAGGTCATCGAGTCCAACCCCAGGAAATGCTGGAATTGGAACAAAAGCATCCGTGGGACCCATAGAATACCATGGGAGAGGATGTGGGGCTTGCCTCTGCATCTGTTCATAGAAAGGATGAGCCCGATTCATCCCTGGGATGTGAGCATGTGCAGAGTGAGTAATTCCACCACACGAGGGAGGGAGCCCAGCCCAGCAGCCCCTTGTGTTCCTCCTCCTTCTGGCTCACCTTGGCGCTGGACGCCTTCGCCCGCTGGGCACTCTCGGTTCACCCTGCAGGTCAGGCACTCCCGGCTGGAGCAGTGGGTGCCAGTCCGACAGCGGCAGACGACGTTCCGCGTGGCGTCCCCTTCCGTGAACACAAGGAAACCGGCATCTGGAGGAGGGGGAGAGAAGAAGAAGGAGAGCCTTGGAGCTGAATCGGGCCCTTGTGCCATCTGAGTCCAGCAGCCAAGCAGACGCCCCGTCTGGGAAACCCACAAGCAGGGAAGAGAGAGAGGGGAGGGTGGAGATCACGGCCTTGGAAACCCAGCCTGATGAGGAGTGGTCGAAGCATCTGGGTGTGTATAGCCTGGGAAAGAGGAGACTGAGAGGAGACCTGAGAGCCACCTTCCAGTATCTCAAGGGCTGCCCCATGGAAGATGAAGCAAGCTTCTTTTCTGCCACTTCAGAGGGTAGGACTCGAACCCATGGCTTCAAGTTACAAAGAAGGAGATTCTGACTCAACATCAGGAAGAACTTTCTGGCCGTCGGAAAGTTTCAACAGTGGAACAGTCTCCCTTGGGGAAGCGGTGGGCTCTCCTTCCTTGGATGTTTTTAAGCAGAGGTCGGACAGCCATCTGTCATGGATACTTAGGTGATCCCTGCATTGCAGGGGGTTGGACTAGATGACCCATGGGACCCCTTCCAGATCCTATAGATTCTATTAACTCCGGAAGTATAGACTCGATTCTGACCAAACGAAGCCTCCTGATGTATATTTTGCTCTACGCCTCTGGCCAATGAGGCTCTAAAGCTAAAGGTCCAGTCGTGGCCAACTCTGGGGTTGCGGCGCTCATCTTGCTTTACTGGACGAGGGAGCTGGCGTGCAGATTCCGGGTCATGTGGCCAGCGGGACTGAGCCGCTTCTGGCAAACCAGAGCAGCGCACGAAACGCCGTTTACCTTCCCGCTGGAGTGGTACCTATTTCTCTACTTGCACTTTGACATGCTTTCGAACTGCTAGGTGGGCAGGAGCAGGGACCGAGCAACGGGAGCTCACCCCGTCATTGCGGGGATTCGAACCGCTGACCTTCTGATCGGCAAGTCCTAGGCTCTGTGGTTTAACCCACAGCGCCACCCGCATCCCTAATGAGGCCCTAGAGGGCCATAAAAAATTGTGCCCTGGGCTTTGTAGACTTGGATACCCATCTGAAACCAAAGGGGCTCATGGGTTGCCAGGTGTGAAATATGGGCTTATTTCCAGCTCCGTGATATGATAGTAGAAGAGAAGAAGAGTTTGGATTTGATATTCCGCCTTTCACTCCCTTTAAGGAGTCTCAAAGCGGCTAACATTCTCCTTTCCCTTCCTCCCCCACAACAAACACTCTGTGAGGTGAGTGGGGCTGAGAGACTTCAGAGAAGTGTGACTGGCCCAATGTCACCCAGCAGCTGCATGTGGAGGAGCGGGGAATCGAACCCGGTTCCCCAGATTACAAGACTACCACTCTTAACCACTACACCACACTAGTGAGCTGCGCAGAGCCGCCTCTGGAAGCAGCACATGGCCAGAGTCTGTCTGGTGGTGAATGGAGTACACACACACAGAGGACCCCCACTTACTCTCATCGCAATAGGCCTGTGGCACGCAGTGCTTCTCCTTGGTCCAGCCGGCCTGGAAATGTTGAGCCTCGCAGGCTACGCACCGCGTCTCTGAGCTCTCGGAGCAGAGCGCCTGCACCTTGGTGCCTGCAAACACACGAGGAGACCTGGTGAGCGCCGGCAACTCGGGCGGGGAAAGGGCCGTGCTTACGAGGGGGGCAGACGCGATTCCAGCGGAGACTGGCATGGACTGGGGTGGGTGGGCAGGAAGGGGCGAGGGCTCAGCAGCAGAGTGACATCTGCTTGGCATGGGGAAACTCTTTGGAAAGTCCCCCTCCCTGGGAGATTCAGGACGCAGGAGAGGTGCAGTTGGCCTATGGAACTCCCTCCCACAGGAAAAAGTAGTGTTAGAAGTTGTGTGTCTTTGTTTCTCCATTTCATCCTTTCACATTATTTTGTATATATTGTGGTATTTTATGCACCGCGACTTGTAGTTATTTTCATTGATCATCGTTTAGTAAGTAGTTATTGTAATTGTTAAGAGTGAATTTCTGTTATCATTTGCTGAGCTTCTGAGTGTTAATTTTATTGTGTACTATCATATTCTAATAGATTATTGAATATTACTTTATTTGATATAAGTCTTTCCATTTCAAAGTTAGGTTTAATAATGGCGGTACAGTATTGGATTAGCGTATTGTGGCCAAACTTGGCCCTCCAGCTGTTTTGGGACTACAACTCCCATCATCCCTAGCTAACAGGACCAGTGGTCAGGGATGATGGGAGTTGTAGTTCCAAAACAGCTGGAGGGCCAAGTTTGGCCTTCACTGTAGGTGTGTGTTCTTTGTTGTATATTTTGAGGCTGGAAACTGCTTCGCATACAGTAATATAGGAAGGGGATATACAAATTAAAAGTGAAAATGAAAATGAAATCCCAGTTGATGCAAACCACAGGAGGGGAGAGTTGCTCTTGTGTTGAATCCCGCCTGTGTTTTCCCCACTATGGACATCTGGTCAGCTACGGGGAGAGCAGGAGGCTGGACTAGGTGGGCCTTTGGCCGGATCCAGCACCAGGCTCTTCCTAGGGTCTTAGGAGGGCAGCAAAAGCCTGGAGGGAAACCCTGGAAAAACCCCGAGCAAGGGAGCTTCCCTTCTCCCCAAATCAGGGTGAGAAAGCTCTGGCCTCCTCAGGCAGCCCTGGAGAAGGATGGGCTTCCCAAGGGAGAATCGGGTCCTGAGGGCTCTTTTCCCGGAACAAGGTATTCCCCTATGCCCCCCCCCCCGTCCGTTGCGCAAGGGGGCCCCATTTCCATCCCATGGCCCCCGCTCCTCCCTCCCAGAGCTGCCCTGATCCTTCCGGTCCTCATAGGTTGAAAGGGGCAGCCCTTAGTATATGATGAGCTTAAAAAAATGTTTAAGTATAACTTTATGAAAAATACAGAAGGGACCAGGGCTCAAATCTCCGCTCAGCCATGAAACTCAATGGGTGGCCTGGGGGGGGGTCACCGCCCCTCTCTCTCAGCCTAACCTGCCTCACAGGGTTGTTGTGGGGATTAACTGGGGGGGGGGAGCCATGTATGTCACCTCAGGCTCCTTAGGATTCTTCCTGGGGTTTCCTCCAGCTCCGCAAGGTGGGCAGGACAACCCACCTGTAAATTAGGACATCATAGTGACATCATATGACTGACAGTTGGACAAGCCTGCCCAGAAGGATCTGCCCAAGCAGCCCAAAGGGGTCCCCACCTCCCTCTCGTCCCGAGTGGCCCAGGTGTCTTGCTGCAGAGACAGGAGGAGGGCCCGGGGGGGGGGAGGTTTTGGACTGGGGCAGTTTTATTTCCAGAGACATTGTGGGGTTGGTCTACATGGCCCTTGGGGTCCCTTCCTATTCTGTGATTCCCCAACTGGCTCAAAGGTTGTGAGGAAAAGTGCTTTTAGTGGATGGAATCTGCCCAGATGGGCTATCCATGCAACTCTGATTTTCAGAGAGTCATTTGTATTCCAGAGAGTGTGGCACAGTGGTTAGAGCGCTGGACCTGGGAGATCAGGGTTCAAATCCTCTCAGCCTAGCCTACCTCACAGGGCTGTTCTGAGGATTAAATGAGACGGAGTGGGGGGGGGGAGAACCAAGCAGACCCCCTTGAAGAAAACGGGGACAGAAACGCAATAAATAGGTATAAACATTCCCCTCAGCTCAAACGTCTAATCTTAACTGTATCAACTGTGTTTGAACTGTTTTAATTGGAAAGCCTTTTAATTGGCTGATTTAGCTGTGTCTTTTAATTAAGGGGTTTTTAATGCCGTGAAAGGATCACGATGGTGCGCTTTAATTACAGTACGGATTTCCCCATTGATTTCATCAGCGCAAAGCGCTTCAAAGCCCTTACAAAGCACATAAGCGGCATGTCACTTGATAAAGAAACCGTGCTGTTGACACCGTCCCTTTGCCCGCCTCCCGTGAGAAGCCCCCCCCCAGCCCTGAGGGGGTCTTGGGCGGGGGGGGGTCGGAGGAGCCCCAGGAGGAAAAGCAAGAGTTGCATCCGCGCAGTTTCTTACCTGGGCCACATTTCTGGCAACACCTTCCCCCTTCCTGGTACTCGGTGGCGGAGCAGCTCGGGCCCCGCAGCTCCAACGCCAGGCACTGCACCGCAGGAGGAGGGTTAGTCTCAGCCCCATCTTCATCATCCTCATCCCTCCCCCCTGCTCCCCAAAGCCACAATCCAAGCGGCACCCAAAGCTTTCTCTCCGGCGCTAGGAGCAAAGCGCTCGTCAAAGCGCATCTGGGCGCCGCTTGCCTTGGAAACCTCTGCGCCCCCGAGAGATGCGGGATCTGGCCGCCGCTTAGCCCACCCTTTGGGGTCCGGTTTCCATCCGCCCAGAGAGACCCACAAGGGGGCAGCCCGCCCGCCCCTTCCAAGCTGCAGGGGAGCCAAAGGGAACCTGCCGGGAGACTGAGCCACCGGGGCTCCCTTTTCCCGGGGAAAGGAAAGCCTGGCTCCCGGCGGGGTCGCTCTCTCTCTCTCTTGAGGGTCCCCAGAGCGGCGCGCTTGGGGGGGGGGGCAGGGGTCCCGCCTCGCCGGACGGAAGGAGCAGGAGGAAGGCGACCCTCCCCGTTCCCCCAAGGACGCGGCTTGACACTGCTCCGTCCGAAGGGGCCGTCAAGTTCGGGAATGGCAGAGTCGGAAGGGACCCCCAAGGCTCATCTAGTCGAACCCTCTGCAATGCAGGGATGCCAGCCGGGAGAAGAAGAGGGCCGTGAAGTCCAGATCCGCCCCCCCCCAGTGGCCAAAGGGGCGAGAGGGTCCCCGGAGGGCGCGCCGGGTTACTTTGGGGATCTAGGTTGGTCAGACCTGCGAAGCCTGCCGGGATCTAGGCTGGGGATCGCTTTGGTAAATCGATCAAGTCACAACTAGAGTGAGGACCCCCCCCCCCCGCTGGAAAAGGGCGAGGCAGCAGCTCCGGGACGAGGGGGATTCCCAGGCGCCGAAAGAGGAACTGGACCTGGATGGGCGCGGGGGACTTTCCCGGGATGGGCTCCCGCCTGCCCGCCCCTCGCCCGGGGGTCTCTAACTGGGAGGGAGGACAGGGGTGGGCGCGGCGCCCTCCCTCCCTCCCGAATCGAAAGCGAAAGCGCCACTCACCAATGGCAGGAAGGCGCAGCCGCCCCACACCGCCGTCCAGGGGACCAGGCGCCACCGCATCTCTGCTCTGGCCGGCGGGCGGCGCCCCCTTTATAAGGCCGGGCCGGGGGGCGGCGACGGAGCCGAGGGGGCGTCCTCAGCCAGCCAATCCGGCGAGGCGGAGCCCCTCCGAGGCGGCGCCCCCGCGGCCACGACAGCCCGGGCCGAGCTCGCCCGGAAACTCCCTGCCAGGAGAAGCGGAGCGGCGGAGGCGCGGGACTCCTCCATAGCTGTCAACTTTTCCCTTTTCTTGCGAGGAATCCTATTCGGAATAAGGGAATTTCCCTTTAAAAAAGGGAAACGTTGACAGCTATGGACTCCTCGCCTGGATCCGAGGAGGGGGCGGCTCGGCGGTGGTCGGGCCCGGCAGCTTTCAGCCCCTCCGGGACATCGGGGCGTCCCTTGCGCCGCGCTTAGGGACCATTCGCAGCTGCGCCCAAATGATGCCCACGATGCTGTCGGGATGCTGCAGCTGAGGCGCCTGCATTGCAAGCGGGCTGGACTATAGGACCCCTGGGAACCCCCGCCCAGGGTTGGCATCCGTCTGTCTCGGAAGACAAAGAAGGAGGGAGCCTTTGCCGGGGTCAGTCAACCCCCTGGAGGGTTTGCAGCGCCTGCTGCGGTTGCAGAGATCGATGCGGGAGGAGGAGGAGGAGGAGGAGGAGGAGGAGTTTGGATTTGATATCCCATTTTATCACTACCCTAAGGAGTCTCAAGGGATGCGGGTGGCACTGTGGGTTAAACCACAGAGCCTAGGACTTGCCGATCAGAAGGTCGGTGGTTAAAATCCCCGGGACGGATGAGCCCCCGTTGCTCGGTCCCTGCTCCTGCCAACCTAGCAGTTCGAAAGCACCTCAAAGTGCAAGTAGATAAATAGGTACTGCTCCGGCGGGAAGGGAAACGGCGTTTCCGTGCGCTGCTCTGGTTCGCCAGAAGCGGCTTAGTCATGCTGGCCACATGACCCGGAAGCTGTACACCGGCTCCCTCGGCCAATAAAGCGAGATGAGCGCCAGAGTCGGCCACGACTGGACCTAATGGTCAGGGGTCCCTTTAACGTTACCTTTTAAGGAGTCTCAAAGCAGCTAAATCTCCTTTTCCCTTCCTTCCCCACAACAACACTCTGTGAGGTGAGTGAGACTGAGGGACTTCCAAGAAGATAGGAGAGCCATCATCTTGTTCCACCCCAGTGCAGTTGAGGGGAGCAGGGACCAGTCTCCAACCTCGTGCCCTCCAAAGGGCTTGGACCCCCAACTCCGGGTTGTGCTGCTTTGGGCAGAGGGAAGGTGCCACGTTGGCAGAGGCTGTTTCTACAGGCTAAGCCTTCCCAAGCAGAGAGAGAAAACCTGGATGGCAGCATTGCAAGCGGTTGGGCTTGATGACCCTTCCAGCTCTATGATTCTGTGAACCCCAGCCCCAGCCAGAGCCACAGAGTGACTTGTGGGGAGGGCGTTTCTGCCTTGGGGAGATGCTAGCCTTCCTCCAAATAATCTGAATTTAGAAAAGCAGGTAGATCAGAGCTGTATTCAGGGGTTTTCTGTTTCACTTTGGCTGACGCTGGACCCCTCCGGGCAGCCTTAGGCTACAGGGCAGCCAGTTGCCCGTGCTGGTGCAGTGGGGCCTCTGGGTCAGGGCAAGGGAGCGAGCTCAGCTGCCTCCAGGGCAGCTGGAGGTGAGGGAGGCCCAGGGCTGCGCAAAGACACCTGGGTGCCTGAGGCAGAACAGCAGCCACGGGGCGCCGTCTTCCTGGCAGGCCGCCTGAGCATGAAGGAACGAAGCAACGGGAGGTTTGCAAAGGCATTTGTAAGAAGCAGATCTAGAAAACTGGAGGGAGACGAGCAGCAGGAGATTCAAGGCAGACAAAACAAGGTCCTTCTTTGATTATTTCCTGGGCAAGGGTGGCCTGAGTGCTGTAACTCACACACTGGTAACCAAATGCTTAGACTACCACGATGCACTCTGTGCGGGGCTTCCCTTGAGTTGTGGAAACCAGGTTGCCGAGTGGAGCAGCTGGAGCGGCAGAGTTGAAGAAAGGGTGCAGTGTCTGAGAATTTTTAGTTAGGTGAAAGGCAAGTGAGAGGTGACATGCAAAGTTTATAATGATAATAATTTATTATTTGTACCCTGTCCATCTGACTGGGCTGCCTGGCGTGGAAACAGCAGACAGGAAAGTTTTTCTCCCTCTTTGCTAGCGCTAGAACCCGTGGACGTCCCGTGAAGCTGAATGCTGGGAGATTCAGGACAAATGAAGGTCCTTCTTCATGCAGGACATAGCTGAGCTGTGGAACTCCCTGCCACAGGAGGCAGGAATGGCCACCAACTTGGATGGCTCAGGAAGAGGATGAAACAAGACCATGGAGGAGGAGAGGAGCTCTCGGTGGCCACTAGCCAGAATGCTCTGCCCCCGCAGCTGGAGACAGCAATGCTTCTTCTTCTTCTTCTTTTGAATTAAAGATTTTATTGATTTACAAAAGTGTGTGCAATGTCTCTCTCTTGTATCCCCCCCCACCCCCCGTGTAACATTTTTACAAATCAGTTTCATCTGTTGAGACATTAGGAAGAAAAGGGGGAAAGAGGTGGGGGGGGGAGATGAGTGGGGGTGGGGTCAGGTGGTGATATATTATTTAATATATGTAGGGTTTGGTGTCAGCGTTGCTTGTGCAGGTTCTTTGCTGTTTGCTTGTGTTTCTTTGGTGGTGAGAGAGGTTGGGGTTGTTCATTTGTGGTTGGCTGTGGTGGTCTTTGTTTTCACGTGTGAGTGGGGTGGGTGGGTGTTCTGGATCAGGTTAGCCATATTGATTTGTATGCTGTTGGTGGGTTTTTGTCATTGTCTTGTTGGGCTGTGTATGTGATAAAGGGGAGCCATACCGGGGTGAAGGCATCTTCTATTTGTCCCCATGTCAGTTTCAGTTTATTGGTTAATTTTTCTGGTAGGGCTGTTTCCCATGCAATTTGGTAGCATTGGTCCATGCGACAGCAATGCCTCTGAAGACCAGTTGCTGGAAGCCACAGGAGGGACGGGTATTGCTCTTGTGCTTGAATCCTGCTAATATCTGCTTGGCCACAGCAAGAACAGGATTCTGGACAAGATGAGCCATTGGCCTGGGCAGAGGGAACTGCCCTGGCTGCTTCTAGATCTGCAAGATCATTGAGGTTGCCAAGAAGACTTTCACTCATAGGACCAGACCTTGCAGAATATTGCAGGGGGGGGGTGTCCAAAAAGAAGCATGACTCTATACTTGGGGGTGTCGTATGGGAAGCACCTGCAGTGATTTGCTTCAAATAAGGACACACCTTCTTGTGCGTTGGGGGGCGGGAATCAGGTAGCATATTCTCTCTTGCACCTGACCTGTGCTCTTGAGTGAAGGGGATCCGAAGGGCTCTGGACAGGCCTTGCCTTGGAGGAGGGGGCTTCATGTGCCCCCTCCAGACAACCTGCTTGTTGATCATGCAACCTGATTTGCTTGCAGGATACTTACATGGAGCTGAGGTTACAGCCAGCCTTTATTGAGCATTCGTTCTGCTGTGTTACAAGGAGCTTTCGTCCCTCAGTGCTTTGCCTCTAAATGTTCCAAGAGGAAGGGTGGGTGGTGGTTAGAGCGTGGACCTGGGAGTCCAGGGTTCGTTGTTGTTGTTGAGTCGTTTAGTCGCGTCTGCCTCTTCGTGACCCCCTGGACCAGAGCACGCCAGGCCCTCCTGCCTTCCCCTGCCTCCCACAGTTTGGTCAAACTCATGCTGGTAGCTTCAAGAACACTGTCCCACCATCTCGTCCTCTGTCATCCCCTTCTCCTTGTGCCCTCCATCTTTCCCAACATCCAGGTCTTTTCCAGGGAGTCTTCTCTTCTTGTGAGGTGGCCAAAGTCTTGGAGCCTCAGCTTCACGATCTGTCCTTCTAGTGAGCACTCAGGGCTGATTTCCTTCAGAATGGAGAGGTTGGATCTTCTTGCAGTCCATGGGACTCTCCAGAGTCTCCTCCAGCACCAGAATTCAAAAGCATAAATTCTTTGGCGATCAGCCTTCTTTATGGTCCAGCGCTCACTTCCACACATCACTACTGGGGAAACCAGAGCTTTAACTATACAGACCTTTGTTGGCAAGGTGACGTCTCTGCTTTTTAAGATGCTGTCTAGGTTTTGTCATTGGACCAGGGTTCAAATCCCCCCACTTGGGCATCACGGAGCTCCCTGGGTGACCTGGGGAGCCAGTCGCTGCCTCTCAGCGCAGCCTCCCAGGCTGGCTTATTGAAGGGGTTAAACCAGGAGAGGGAGAGGCACGGCTGCCACCTTGAGTTCCTTGGAGGAAAAGCCGGGATATAAATGCAAACAACATCATCATCTCACATTCTTCCTGATTTGCTTGCGGGATGTTTTCACAGTCATATGTTCATCCCACACTTTCTGTTGCATTTCCTCAAAAGTTTCCAAACCTTTTAAAAAACGGTTTTGTTTTGTTAGGGCATAAAAATCCACTTCGTATGAGCAAACCTCGGCTTCTGGCATTCAGAGGGCTCCTGCCTGCAAAACCCCGACCGTTGGGGGGCACGACTGGCCACTCGGATTAGGAGGACTGACCGTCCCAACTCCTGGAAAGTCCTACAGCCGAAAGGCCAGAGGTGTAGGAAGGGGGGTGTGCTGGGTGTGGGCTGCCCCAGGTGTCATCACTGAGGGGGGTGTCAAAATGGCAAAAATACGTGTTTTTAAAATAAAATATATTTTCCCCCAAGGTCAGGGACTTGGAGCACTTCAGGGTTCAGAGCCCCCTAGCAGTTCTAGATAACCTCCAGGAGGAACAACTGAACAACTTCCAGCAGCTGAAATGCAAAAGTCAGGCTGTCGGTTCCATCTGAGAGTGCAAAGTGGGGGGCAAAGAGCCCGAGCAGTGGGGGGCAGATCTGAGGGATCCATTCCCTGCTCTTGTTTTCTCCAGTCCTCACCCCTGGGGCAGGGATGCGGAACCGCAGCAGAACTGCAAAGAGAAGGACATGGGAAGAGGTGAGTTTGTCCCTGAGCCCCTGGCAAGGCTATTCCAAGAGTTTTCTCCTGGATTCCAAGTC